ATCAGCTTGGTTAATTGGTTAGTCAGTTCTTAGTGATTGCGTCAGTAAGTTGGTCTGTCAGTTACTCAATGAATTGGTTATTCTAGTCTGTCTGTCTGTCTGTTTTGTCTTTATGACTATCCGTCTCCTGGTCGTCTTTCTGCTTATCACCCTGTTTGTGTACTTTAACGTCTCTCTGACAATAGGCCATTTTACAATTGTGTACTTAGTTGCCAAGCCTTTGATTCAGAGTGAGGCTGAAGGTGACCTTGTTGTGATAGCGACCTGTATCTACTTAGCATGATAACAAAGTGATTTACGTATGATGCACGATCCTCGCAGTAGAGAACTTCATATATTCATTGTATCCGATTTATCATCACGGGTTTATTACGGATCAACTTAACGGCCTGCTCCCAGTTGGCTTGTTAGCTCAATTGGTAGAGCGCTGCACTAGTATCGCAGAGGTCAGTGGTTCGAATCCCGTACAGGCCTGATTTTTTTCAGGTCTGATTTTCGCTATTGCATAAATAGCGCTCTCTACTGCGAGGATCGTGCATCATACGTAATAGATATCTCATTAGCTTCTTTTGTTCGTCTACCAGCATTTGTTCCTTTCACCATTATTACCTGTGTCTCTAGAGATTGGTTGCAAACCACCTATTTGTCATTGTCTTGTTTGACTCGGAGCATTTTCACAATTCATATTTCGCATCTCTTAATGTCAAATATATCTTATGGATGTTCCACTTACCTTTTGAAATGACCTCAGTTCCTTATCTAACGCTATTGACTCATCCGCCTTGAGTACATGGCGAAGCTCAACTTGAACCTCTCCGATTATGTGGTGCCGGGACTACTTGTCAATTTCCCAAACAGACAAATGGAGTAAAGAATTTTGAACATCTTGTAATGACATGTTAAACTCATAACTGTCCCCAAATTTTGGATTTGTGGACTTCCTGAGGACGTTTGTCTGTCCCTTCAAAATCCCTTCTTCATCGGGTTGAAGCATTACTTTCACGTAAGAATCTACTCTATCCCAGAAGTCTTTTCCGACCAACTGGCTCGCCTCGATGATAGTCAACAAAAGAGTTTGCATTTCAGACTGATAAACCATAGAAAATTTAATTCTTCCTTTATTCTTTGGCGGACTGAGCCTTTGGGAAGTCTGCAGCTCTATTTCTCCGCTCATTTTGTTTATTTTTTCTAGCTCACACTCGCTGCATTCAGTAGCAAAGCTCGGGAATGGGACGACAGGCACTTTTGCAGCGGTATTCTTGGGAGCAGTGGTCTTGAGATACGACGAGTCTTTGTACATTGGCTGTTTATGAAGTCGACTTAGCTTGCAGACCATACAAACGACCATAAGAATAAGGATTGCTATCGCCCCGCTCACTATACCAAGCTTAGCTTCTTCGGTTAAATAAAGCATTACTAGCTGGTTAACTGGTCTGGAGAAAAGAAATGTTTTAATGAGAGGCTATTATCGAGAGGTCCATAAACTCCCTTAAAATATTTTAAAACCGTGGACAGGATTGAAGTTGTACTCTGGTAGGCTACTAAAAATCCGAATATCCCTCGCTAATCACCTCAGAGCAACGTGCGTGGGATTTGGGCCCAAGAAAGAGACTAATCTCTTGGCCCGATAATATTGTAATTGTTGCAGGAATATATGATGTATCATCTTTTTGTGCTTTATTATTTCTGCTTTAGAAACAATTTTCTGCGGCACATACTGTGCTTATAAACTAACTTACCCTCTTCACATTCGAACTAACTTCACACATGCGTTCCAGCGGTAACCTAAGGATCTACATACATACATACATACATACATACATACATACATACATACATACATACATACATACATACATACATACATACATACTTTATTGACTTTCCCCAAAGGAGGCTTTTCAAAGACAATAAAATAGTGGACGTAGCATAGCAATCGTTGTTATTATGCTATTGTTAATAGGAAATCCCATAAAACTACTTTTGGGGGAGGTCTCAGAAATTCCTCTATAGATTTCTTCAAAACTTCAGGATTTTCCCTTTTGAGATGAGGCCTTGAGAGTAAATTTTTGAATTATAAAAAATTGAATCTCGCCGTTCACTTCCGTGAAACTTGGTTTACTGCGAACCCTCAAGTTCTTCTTTATGACTTTGGTAGCAGCACGCATGTATGCGTCTCCCTATTTGTGGTTTTCATTTTTGAATAGGGCCTTACCCTAGGGGGGCGGTCCGAAGTTGGTCGCCTGAAGTGGATTCGGAACGGCTATTAACAGACTGAGGATCAGGCTATTTTGTGCAAGCGTGGATAACAACCGAAATACGACACGAGTTACAACTTTAAGTGATTTGAAACTATTAAATGTATTGAATCTCATCTCGATCTGCTGGGTGGTCGGAGGATGTAATTTTGTTTAAGGAAAAGCTTGTTGCATGAACTAGGGAGTTGTTAGACACATGAAAGTGATCTATTGTCAAAACAGTCCTTTGTACCAGGCAAGCAGTTTTTCAGTGAGCAGTCCGGCAGGTTTGTTTGTCTGAATAAGTAGAACTTAAAGGAACCCGCAGGAAAATGAAGGAAAGGCCGATCTGAACGCCAGTAACAGGCTTAAGATGCAAAACCGAACTTTTAGGGATAGTAAACAGATTCATGGTGCTTTGTTTTCAACAAAAAAACAGCCTCGGAAATCCGATGGAAGCCACCGATTAGAAAGAAGTACCCTATAGGTGGGTTGACTGCCGCCAAGCGACAAACCGGTTATTAATTGAGTTCGTTAAAATCATAAACTTCTGCCATGATTATGATTTTCACGAACTCAGTTAATAACCGGTTTGTCGCTTTTGTGAGCTTTTAACGAAGGTACCCACCGACTGAATGAGACTGGAGATCTACTCTTAAATCTAATCAGTAGTACACTTTTCTAAACCCTTCATTGAATTTTACAGCAAAAACCCTAGCAATTAAGGAAGGTTTCTTGGCCGTGATGAACAGAAATTTCCGAAATGCAACAATCATGAAAGTGAATCAATAATTTCAATACCTTTTTAAATTCAGAATACGCACAAGTCTAATCACTGAAGCTACAGTTGGTAATGTGTACATTAAACAAATGAGAACTTAACGCGGAAACAAAACATGAAAAGTTACCTTGAGAAGAACCTAGGAAAAACCCCTTTAACTCGTTTCACTTGCCATCCAAAACCTCCTAGACTAACGAAGAGCAACCAACCATGTTGAGAGAACAAAAAAAGTAATTGAGACAACCACTCCCAAACCTTACTGAACTCAATTCAGTGCCGGTTTAACGTATTAATTTTAGATCATAATCTATGCATTTCACGTGTGTAAAGCATAACGCCACAGACCGATTTGGACATTGTACAGGCTGTTAACAAATTCGCCCGCGATTCACATTTAATCGTAAATGTTCACTTAAGAATTGATGCCTGTTTTCTTATTTACTGGGTCTGAAGTGATATTTCGAAAAATTTTTTGTTCGATGGGTAGAAAGGTTGTGGCAAAAGAAAAACAGTTAAACCTGCTCTTGCTTCAAGGTGCCACACTGTCCGGGTCACGGCTCTCCGAGATGTTTACGGGATTTTTCAGGTACCAGTTCTCTAGTGAAGTCCCTACTGTATCAACTCTATTAACGATGCAGTTAAAAAAAAGAAGGCATTACGGAGAGAGTTAGGCTAACAAATAAATAAATGTGCTTAAATGCTTTTAATAGTGCTTTCTTTGATGTTTGAAGGAATGGTCACCTTCGTACGCAAAAAAAAAAGCTATTCTTCCGAATTTCCTGCCAAAATATCCGGCGCTCAGGGCGAGCTGGCATTGATAGAGAGCACGGAAACTCCTATATCTGCAATAGCAACACAAGGTGTGATCGGTCAGCTATGAAAACAAAGCGGCGAGAGGAATAGACTATGATTAGTCCCTACATTTTGGCGAAATGCGTCGTGCAAGAAAAAAAAAAACTGAATCAGTGAGAAAAAAAATGTCACCGCGCCGCGAGGGACTCTTTGGCTTAAACTGTCACAGTAGTCCCTACTCTTCGTGTACCACACTCCCAGAGCTCCGCGAGGAGCGCTCACAGCGTTTTTTTCACTGATTTTCTGTCTCGTGCGACGGACTTCGCCGAAAAGCAGAGTCTGCTCGTAGTCTAGTAGAAGAAAGAAGAAAAGTTGAAAGAGTAATATCAAAAAATTTTGAACATAGCAATAGCAATCTCTTAAAATACAGAACTGTTGCCATGTCATCGTCTGACATGTTTCTCCGAGTAAAAAACAACAAAGATAGGCTGGGTATTCTGGCGTTGCCCCGAACAAAGTGAAAGCAAAACAGTCGTTCTACCACGCATGCCTTTTTGTGCCTTCTGAGACCATATGAAACCGTGTCTCCTTCCCTATCTATAATTCATCCCCTTGAAATAGTAAATTAGATATTGCATTTTGAAGTTCTGTAAAATTTTAAAACAGATTCACACCTTCCATTTCAGTGAAGCGGTTAGCATTTGAGATCAGAGCCCGGATAAAATTTACTGTTTCACAAAAATCCTTGAGAATCTCTGGTTTACTGTAAAATATAACCCTAAGGGCCTAAAGCGCGGTAAAACGCGGACGTTCAAATCGTGACTGGTGTTAGTTTTGATTGGTTATAAGAGTTGCGTGAGTTTACTGGACCAATCACAGTAAAATATAACCCCAAGCGCCAAAACCGCGGTTAAACGCGTGTGACCAAATCGTGATTGGTGTTAGTTTTTATTGGTTATAAGAGTAGCGTAAGTTTACTGGACCAATCACAGAACAAAGTAAACGAAATCTAATGCAATCCTGGATTATTTTCGACACTCAGTTGAAAATTTGTCTAAAATAAGTTACGTTAATTTAGGTACCTAACGAGAACCTAACAAAAATTGTTGCTGCTCTGGAAAAAAAATCCATACAATGCTGTACTCTTTTTCAAGACTTTTCCTTTACTCTCCATGCCTCATCCAGGAGTGAAAATTGGTTTGTTAGTTTCCACACTTTTTCAAGATTCACATGGGCTAGGGTGTTCATCAGATAAACTCAAAATTAATAGCTTAGCATGCATTGCCAGGGTAGTCTGTCAGTGCTTTGATCGTGTCCCTGCGACTTCAGGGCATAGTAGTGCCACGGATTGTTTCATAAGGCCAAGATGGTCATGAATACAAGACTGCAAAATTTCCAGTGTCTGGGTGTACAAAGTAAATTGGTAATCTAAAATTTCTTGTTCATAATGAATCAAAGTAAAAAACAACAACAAATCCATTGTAAAACGTTACAGGTGGTCTTTGAAGGTAAGAATGGTCATACATGTCTTCTTCCTTTGGTAGGCATCTTTTGAGTTCAAAAGGGTCTGATTCTAGTGTTTTTGAATTGAGAACACTGCAAAGACTGCTATTATCAGCCCTGAACATTTGTGTATTTAAAGTTCCACAATATTTCTTTGTTTTCAAAGAGAAAATTTGTGATTACTGAAAACAACCCATCTGCCACTTGTCGGTGACTGGGTCATAAATTTCACATGCTCACACACATTCGGGATTATGTTCACCAATCAAGAAGATTTTGTCACCATAGACAAATGCTGAATCTTTTTGTTGAGGCTGGTGCATGGAAGCCACATAAAACCAGGAGTTTTGCTGAGGGTCATATCTTTCCACTGATGATTTGTAAATGTAGTTATCATTTAGCTCAAAACCTCCAAACATGTAAATGTACTTATTTCTATAACTAACTACAGAGTGGTTGCAGCATTGTTCATTCATATTAGATACAGATTCCCAAGATTGTTTAATAATGTTGTATCGATGGATGCTGTTACTGACTTTGTTACTGAAGATTCCTCCTGTAAAATAAATGAAACCATCCAATACAACTGCAGTAGCATCCTCTGTTCCAACAGAGGGACCCTCATTCAAGAGTGCAGGGACAAGGAGATCCTCCTCTCTCATTTCTTTAATATTTGTACCACTGGATGAGAGATTCCAGCACTTAAGTTTCACTGGAGACAATATAATTCCAAGTCACCTTCTGTTACCTCTAAGAATTGTTCAGATTGTGAAATTTGCCAATAATTGCTACAAGTCATCTCTAAAACATCTGCTTTAATTTCAGACAGGAAATGAAAGGACTTGGCAAGATCATATCAAAACCAAAAATTTGACAAAGTTAAAGAACTTTTTAAAAATGCAATAATTGCTTTTCAAGATAAAAATTAGTGATAATAATTTAGAACGACGTTTCAACCTCACTGAGGTCATTTTCAAGCTGATGAGAAGGAAAATTTTTACATATATGTACTAAATTCAAGACGTGGGAACGATAAAGGCAATAAAGTATGGAAATATGTAAATGCCAGGTGTAAAATAGAGGTGATAAAATTGCAAAGGAGACAACATGAATAAATTAATTCTCATCGAGGTCGAAAAGTCGCTCAAAATTATCATCACTAATTTTTATCTTGAAAAGCTTCTCTAAAAAACTACTCAACAAAATAATTGCTTTTCTTAACTCCTCAAATAAAGGTAGTCAGAGGCATGCAACAAGCTCTTTACATTCTCAAATGTAATGGTAATTTCTCCACTATAGATAAAATTCAACAACTGGTCTACTATCACATCATCTATGATGTGAAACCTGTAACCTGTAACCACCTCCTGGTTAGCTTAATTGGTTAGAGTGCTGGACTGTTGTGCGGGAGGTTGAGGTTGATGGTTCGAGCCACGGCCGGACCAACACTCAAGGTCTTAAAATAACTGAGGAGAATGCGCTACCTTTCTATAATATCAAGAAATGGATAGACATTCTAGTCTTCTCGGATAAGGATGAATAAACCATAGGTCCTGTCTCCTGCATCTATTAATGAGTTAATTTGGTTAGGCTGGTGATGTTAAAGAACCCACTCATGAGATTACTGCGATGTGGTCTGGCCTGTTTTCTGGGAACTGGGGGGAAAGGGCATCTTCAAATAAGTTTCCTTTGATTGTTTGTGAACTCCTGATGCAGTCTGGCCAAACTCCCCCAAAAAGTGTTGTGATGCGCATTTGATCATATGCACGTGTTAATTTGCACAATATAAATATTAAATTATTATGATTTCAAGGTGCACATTATTTTCCTGGACTTCCTTAATGTCAGACCTAAGAAGCCCCTGAAAATAGCAACTGACAGCTGCCAAAATATTCTTGTGAACTTCAATAGTCCTTCCAGAACTAGTGATGAGTGTGAGGTCACAAAACAATCCTTTATGCCAAAAGTCCATCATTGCTTTAAAAATGGACTCCTCACTTCACAACAAAATTTTCATTAAATGTACCACCACAAGAGCTATCGCTTGTTGAGGAAAGATATTTTGTTAAAGCTTCTTTCAAGTCCTGTAAGACCAAAATATCTGAAATACGAAGTACTGCTTTTGCCTTTTCTTGAGTAAGTCTACATTTTCCAGTATACAAGAAGTTAAAGGGGAACTGAAGCCTAAAAATGAACCATTTTTAAATTGCAGCTTATAGTTCAAATAGCAATGTAAGAGGGTTTTTTTTCAGTCTTTGGGCCCAATGTTGCCTCAGAAAAATAGTGTAAAGTGGTATTTTGGCCTCGTAGTAAGGCGGCTCAGAAAAGCGATGTCAGCGGTCATTTTAGCTCGCTCTTACATCACTGGTGGGGAAGAAAGATAATAAACCTGTACTCTTCCTACAGAAATTTGGTTTGGTTATGGAGTTATGAAAGTTGCATGACTTGTAATGGGGATTAACTATGAAAATGAAATAGTAACAGTTGTTTTTCTTAAGTTGGTTCCCCACCACTGACATCATAAATGACCGCTGCTGACCTATTTTGAGCCGACGGTTTTACATACCCAAAAGCGAGAAAAAGGCAACTTCAAATCGAATTTTCTCTTAAAAAACAAGAAGTGAACGAAAATGAATATCGACACTTTATCTTACTTCTCTAAAGCTAACTAGAAATGAATGCAAACAATATACCAATTTTAGGCTTCAGTTCCCCTTTAAGAATGTCCTCTAGAGCAACTGGATCCACATTGGAGAGTTCATAATGGAATGCAGCAGATGATACTTCACACAAGTCTCTAAAAGACTTGCAGCTTGCCACCAGTACATTCTTATGCACTGGGAAGTCCTTTCCACCAACTGCTAAACTAAAATCAACCTACAGCCCCTGATGTCTAAGGCTGTTGAGAGTTTCCATAACAGTAATAATGTACAACCCAGTGTTGGCATTCTGATACTGAATTGAATTGAATTGAATCTTTATTAAGTCATAAGATAAATAATCACATATCCTATGTTACATGATCAGATGCTTCTCCTTGCTTTGAAACTTCTGTTGAAACTTCTTTTACCCCTTGACTTTCATTTGAAAATAAACATCTACACTTTGATGTTAATACTCCCATTATTTTGTTTTCTGTCGAGTGTTAAAATGCCCCCATGGCTGATCCATTATAATCAATCTGCGGGAGTGACCTACAGACATAAAAAAAGAACATGTACCGTCTCAAACTCCATAGCTGACAGAATATAGGACCATTAAGAAATGGCTCAATCCCAATTCAGAGGCTAGTAAAGAAGAAGGATTCCATTTCTCTTTTTAATTTTGCATTAACCACCACATAAGATCTTGTGGAGTCTCAAATATGGACAGAGTATAATTCCTTTAACCACTGATTGTAAGCCACTAAACAAAACCAGCACCATCTCTTACTCTAATACGCAGTTAAATGGTTTTGTAATGTCCACAGATTTTTTTTTGCGAAACAATCCAAACCAGTGATACCATGATGAAAACATAAAAATGGATCAGCAATCTATTCCTGTTTGAACATACTAGTTAATAATTTAGAAATAATCAAAAGGGGAAACAAAGGCACTTGTATAGCAATCCTAGACATAAATAATTATCATAGGCATGGATCAGCACTTGTTCTATGAATATCAACTATAGATGCAAATAATCATTCCTTTAAAAATTAACATAAAATTCTTGTTGGGTCAAAGCTCAAGTCAAGAATAAAACACTCATTGCTACATGGTGTTGCCCTGTAATCTTTTCAAAAAAGCTATGATATATGAGTAAAAATTAAATAAATTTCACAAGAAAATTTGATGAATTTTAAAGAAAATTAAGGATGGAGATAATTTTGTTGGAAAGGCAGAACACTCTAGTTGATTTGCTGGCAAAGAGTGAGATGCTGTGGGCATTATCTACTTGGGGGAGGGGGTATAGGGATCTACTTCCCCTTAAAATTGTGAAAAAATGAAAGAGCTAGGTTGTACATCCTTTTCTGAGTGAGAATTTCCATGTGACCATTGAAAAGTGTTCAAAGCAATTTCAGAGGAATCAAGGAGTAATTTATATTTTGAGGGATAATTAGTTTTATATGTACTTAGCTGAGGCATGCAGTTGTAATGTCATCTCAAAATCAACAGTTTAGATCAGAAATGATATGTATGAGAAATAATAGTTTCAACATGAGAGCATAAGATTAAATTGGTTTCCATAAGTCTCACGCTTGAGAGCTATGGAAAGGGCCACCTAGGTGGCATCTGGGGTGGTGAAAAGCTGGAAAACTAAAACTCATTCATGTATGTACAGGTGGTTTGCAACGAATCTCTAGAAGCACAGGTAACAATGGTGAAAGGAACAAATGCTGGTGGATGAACAAAAGAAGCTAATGAGATATCAACTTAACGGCCTTCTCCCAGTTGGCTTGTTAGCTCAATTGGAAGAGCGCTACACTAGTATCGCAGAGGTCAGTGGTTCGAATCCCGTACAGGCCTGATTTTTTTCAGGTCTGATTTTCGCTATTGCATAAATAGCGCTCTCTACTGCGAGGATCGTGCATCATACGTANTAATACCGCAGTTCAAAATATATGAACTTCATATATTCATTGTATCTGATTTATCATCACGGGTTTATTACGAATCAACTTAACGGCCTGCTCCCAGTTGGCTTGTTAGCTCAATTGGTAGAGCGCTGCACTAGTATCGCAGAGGTCAGTGGTTCGAATCCCGTACAGGCCTGATTTTTTTCAGATCTGATTATCGCTATTACACAAATAGCGCTCTCTACTGCGAGGATCGTGCATCATACGTATCTAATACCACAGTTCAAATATATGAACTTCATATATTCATTGTATCTGAGATATCTATTGTTTATGTCCACCAACATGGCGGTAATGACGTAACGTGCAAACCACTTACTGTCAAAAGGCACTTTTTTGAAGACAAACAAATTTTTTTAGATATCACTTTCATTTCCTCTAAGGTTAATTATTGGCCCAAGTGTAAATAAGCACAAAAATAAAATTCACATAAATTACCCTACCCAACACACGGTTACCGTACTTAAGGATGCTGGAAATCATCAACTTGCTTCTAAACATATACAAAACCACAACAACCTAGAATGCCAAGTGTAACTACTATAATACCTGAATGCCTTCGCATTTGGTGAATGCACAGGGTTCCGAAACTATCCTTCCGGGGACTGTCGGAACATATCCGAAGTTCACCGAAACTGGACGAGGACTTTGTCGTTTATTTCGTTCCAGTCTCATGACCGATAACTCAATATTGCATGCCATGATAATGCCCAAATTCTACCGCACTAGACACAATTTCATAAGTTGTATGATACCTCATCCTTCGTTTAGATGAACAGTCGATCTTACAAGATATCGAATAAAATTCTACGCAGTAAAATCGGCGTTGGAGGACTAACGCAGAGAACCAATCGAGGTAAGCTTCTAGAAATGTCACGAACGTTTGATCAACACACCCTCAAATCTTAAGATAAGACTAGTATTTATTAAAATTTTATAATGCTTTTATGAAAGATCGAGAACACGGTGATATAATGATTGAAATCTTTTCTGTGAAATTTAAGGGCAGCAAATGTAATCGAGGGAAAAAAGTGATACATAAGACTTCAGGCGTGACGGTACTAAATTAAAAATGTTTTACAGGTACTTTTTATTATATATACCACACTGTTAAACTTACATTTAGTTATTCGAGTTTTGAAAAGGACCAACTGTGGTTTTGTTATTTTTATCGTAATATGCTTGAGATCAACCAAGGAGAGTTCGAAATAATGAAATACTGATAAATACCAGTTGTGATCAATATGTGCTGTAAAGTACAAAACAGTTTTAAGATCTTGGGAGTCCCAGGCAATGAAGGCCCTCGTTTAAGGTCATTCCTCGGTTTTGGACTGTATATCTTATTGCAAGCAATTTTAAAGTGATTAGTTTGGTATTGGACTCTACATCTTATTGTAAGTAATTTTAAAGTGATTATTTTGCACATGTCAAAACTTGACAGCTTTATTTTAAAGGGCCATAACTTGCTAGACAGGGACTGTGTTACATTGAAATTTTGAGGGTTTTGATTTTTGTTCATTGTGCAAATAGTAACTGAATAGTAAGTTTGCCCTGAAAAATTCTCTTGAGAGAAAACACTTCAAATATTTACTACCTTCAGTCAAATAAAGGAAATTCTTGGCATGCAAATCAAGTTTCAATTTGTGTATTCTTTGCATTGCAACTCACTTGAAAATCCATCTTTTAACATTTCATCCTGTAGATTCTCAGTAAGAATCAACAAGTTAGAAAGATAAGTTTCCTTCCTGTTTGAGTAGAAAAACACAACAATTAGTTAACAGAATTCTTCTCAAACTACTCAAATTATTTGCCCAAAACACAATTAAGTTTCAATCCAGAGGATTAACCTCCTCCATTGTTTCATGCTTTGTGATAAATTTTAAGTAATTTTCCTGTCAATGAGTTAGAGGACCATTTATTTCTTAATTCATTTTTGGAACAATCAATGTGGATATAGAATAATTTCATGGTGCTGTGTGCCAAAGTCTGAACAACAATTTTGAACATATTTGTTTGACTGTCAGTGCACATTGCTCATTTAAAGCTGTTCAGTATGAAAAGAAATTGTTTCTTTCTTTTGATACACACAATAGAGACAAAATAAACTTCTTGATAACCTTGTCTTCTTGGTGGTCTGTACTGTACATTATCGATCTTTGTTTTCCTCCTTTGATTTATGAGCTGCTCACTTTGCACTTGGGCCATAAATTGAAGGAATAAAAAACTTGGTCTGTAACTTACTTTACAAACCTGAAATGCAACTATTTAGTTGTACATATAATAAGGATGATACTAGAAGAAATGATTCCATGTATTTATTACACGACTCGGGAAGTCAGAGGGCCAATAACTAAAATCAACCAATCAAAATGCTCTATTGCCGGTCAATATTCTCTTAGTATTGGACTGGGCACTGTCCCGAATGGTCCCGAATGGTCCCGAATGATACCACACTTATGTCCCTTTGAACTTCAGTCGTGTAATAAATCTCTTATTAACCAAGCTTGCTCGGGACCATACTGGAAGAATATCAGCCCTCGGTCTTTTTTGTAGGGACCTCGCTGCGCTCGGTCCATAGTGTCAAGACCTGGGGCCAATATTCTCCCAGAACGGCCATCGCGCTTGGTTAATAAGATATAGTACACACCAATCAGATTGCTTCATAAGGGTATGTATCACAGCATTGGGGTATGCTCACACCAATAAGAGTATTGCCCCTCATGTCAATTGTGTCATGAAATTAGAGTACTGTAATTTGTATGATGCACGATCCTCGCAGTAGACAGCGCTATTTATGCATTGTATTAGTACTGTAATATGTTGTGATGGAATCAAACCAACATAGACACACACCAAGAATGACATACACAAAGAAATGAGCTAATCTACCCANATAGACGAGTACAAATACCGCGTGATATTTGTACTTGGCTATGGCATTATTTGTACTCGTCTAGGTGTAGTTGGATAGTAAATCTTGGTATTTTCTCAATATAATTAGGTTGGTATATGTTGTTATGGACTAGAGTTACTTAGATGAATATTATTTTCCAGTAAACACTCTGTTAGTCAATTCTCACAATTTTCACATGCTTAGAAGTTTTCTACCAATCAAATTTGCATTTAGCCACCCAGGACTCCATACCATCATGTGTCAACTCCTTGTAAACAACCTGCATTTTATCATGTATTCCGCATGCACAGGGCAAAGTCCAGATAGTCAACAACAAAATAAAGAAATAATTTGGATATATCAACAAAGTTGAAATGGTAAATTGGCCACTGTAACGATTACAAAAGCTGACGTTTCGAACGTAAGCCCTTCGTCGGAGCGAAAATAAAGAGCCTGTGCTCTTATGCCTGTGAGAAAGCTTTTAAAATCTTCCTTCATTATATTTTCACTTATTCAAAGAATGGAGACTCCAAAATATCTTTGGTCAGAGGCTGTTTGAGATGAAATAGAGTTCTGGTTTGCTCTCCACCACAAAATTTTGTGAAGAATACTGTTGAGGCAACTAACTGCAGCCAAGTTGATAGTTTCTGATTTTTTCTCTGACGAAGAAATAGCAGTAAGCATAGTCTAATCCTGTGAGTGGATCGTTGTTTGATCTTGTCACACAAGTGCATTGCATAATGAAACCAAACAACAATTACTGTGAAGGAGACTTGAGGAAGTGTGGTACCATTGCTGTTTAGTTTTTGCCAACAATTATTCAAACACCAGAGGTAATATACCATAAAATACATGTCTGAGTTTATTTCAGTGAATTGGAAGGATTTTCTTTGCTCTATATTAAATGATATTTCATTGGAATCTTTTGAAAGTAAATGCTGTTTCTCTTTTACAAAAATACAAATGTTACTTACTTAGTGTTTACTTACTTACCAAGTCCATGCAGAAAACATTTCTCTAATAGAATTGAACTATTTACATTTATTGTTTCTTTTAGACTTCACATATTTATTGTAGATTATTAGCACTACAAATTAGTTATTCTATATCTCCCAGTGTTAGCCTAGCTATTTGGGAGTACAAGTTCCAAGTCCAAGTGTCCAATTTCAACCCACCCACACAATAAAATTACTCTTGAATGCATAGCATGCCTATGTTTTTATTTTTTTTCACAAGTTAGTTCCCTCTACTTACTATCAAGATGACTTAAGATGACTTAAGATGCCCAAACTTATGCATCTTAAACAATTCTGAATCCATGAATTTTAAATTCAAGAAAAATGCTCGAAAGTTTCATTTCAAGTCACACCATTCTGAAATCCAACCGTTAGAACATGGGTAATTCTTAAACAGAAAGCAAAAGCAGAGTTTACAGCATATTGAATCTTATTGTTTTCCTTTATTTCCATGATCTGTTAGCTCACTAAAATAAATAACTGAAGAATTGGAATAACTCCATCAGTGCTGAGATTTATGTAACTTCTCTTGAAATTGAATTGAAATATTGTATCTCCTCTGTTATTATAACTTACCCCACTCAGTGTTGGAACATGCAGGATCAAACTTAAAACTCAAATACTTCTGTTTTGTAATATGTTGAACAAGGGGAGAAGGGGAGAGAATACAACAAAGTGAGAAGTGCTTATGTTCCTAACAGTTTTGACAGTGATTGTAACTCAGGTCATTATTTGGTTACAATATGCAATAATCAGTAATCTTTGGTTTAGACAACTAAATTTAATTCTCATCCAGGCTGACTGTTGCATGGTCAAAGAAGGAGCTATCCAACTGTTTATTTTAGGAAACTTACATAAAAGTTTTGTCTGATGATAGTTATTCCTGCTTAGATGGAGTGATTACCATTTTTATTAGGGGGGTTGTCAGAATTCTCTCTATACAGATCACTATGGAAAAAAAAAAGTTATTATTATGGCAACAGTATAGGTGACACCAGTTGAGAACCTGTATATCTGAGATTATTTTCTTTTGCACCCTCTAGGTCATAACAGTGACAAGTGGCTTCAGCTGCTTCTAAATGAAAATAGGATATTGTCAAGGAGATATGATGTGGCATGACATTACTTAGTGTTAGTGTGATTGGTGTTGAGTGACAAGCAGGTCAGTTCTAATCCTGAGAACAGTGGTGATCAAATGGGTGGTCTGTTGGCAAAATGTGTTGGAACTTCTGCAGGGGAGCAAGCTAACCCTATACAAGTTGTAGAACCGAACCAAGTGGACCTGACATTGGCAGGTGAAGAGGAGAACAATAGAGGGGAAGTGGCAACAGAGGACAACAGCGATGAGCCTTTAGACCCTGAAAAGGCTCCATATCAAGTTTTCCTGCTTGAAACACTAAATACTTTTAGAAAGGAGAAGCTTTTTACAGATTTTACGTTAAAAGTGAATGACAAGGATTTTCCAGTCCACAAAAATGTACTGGCCGCAAGTTGTGGTTTCTTTAACGAACTATTTTCTAAACATGATGGTTCTAATTCAGTTCTACACGAGCTGGCTAAATTGGAGCCGAACACTATGGATAATGTCATTAACTTCTTATACACCGGGAAATGTAAAGTGGATCGACACAACGCGACAATGATGTTGCATGCAACCAAAGTTTTAGAAATAGAAGATTTGCTGGAGCCACTGGAGAAAAATAAGGCTTTGGCGTCGGATAAAACGACGAATGATGAAGCTCCTTTTAAAGGAAAAATGTTTAATTCACACAATCAGGGAAATATGTTGTCCAAACTTTTAACTTTCCAAAGTGAGGGATTATTCTGTGATTTAACATTAACAACGGGAAGTGGTGTAGTTATTCCTGTACATAAGAATATTCTGGCAGCTGTAAGCTGTTATTTTAAGGGGCTTTTTCGCTCTGAAATGAAAGAAGTTCATGAAAGTAATGTGGAATTAGCTGTAATAGACGAGGCTGTCACCGACGAATTGTTAAATTTCGTTTACAGGGGAGAGATTACTATCAATTTTGACAACGTAAGGAGTTTATTACAAGCGAGTGATTATTTGTTAATAGAGCGTTTGCAACGAAGGATTATTGAATTTGTGAGAGATTCCTCGACGTTGTCAAACTTCTGGCTCGTATATTCTCTCGTGAGAAGCTTTGATTGTCTCAATGAGATTTACCAAGAATTATTGAATCTAGTGTGTAATCATTTTTGGAGTATAGCTTCATCAGACGTTTTTCTTGACATTCCTGAGCAAGATATGAGGTGGTTTCTATCAAATGACGATATTTTGGCGAGCGAAGCACTAATGCTAGAATCTTTAATTCGCTGGTACAAATATTCTAAGCTGGAGAGGGAAGAATCTTTTAAAAGACTTCTTAATCTCATTCATATGGGAAGCATTCCAGATCTTTTCCTGAAGAAACTGACAACTGACGATTGTATCGATGAGTTGACGTCGTTCTCTGGTTACAAGTTAAAAAATGATGTTTCCGACGAAGATGTTCTCAAGGCAGCACATTTCTACAATGTGGCATTATTTGGATTAACACACCGGCTGCATTACACACATTCTTACAATCTCTGCTACTGGCTCCCCTTCGCAGGACCTTGGTCTCTCATTGCTCGTGTCCCCCATAACAAGTCGATGCTGGCTAATGGAAGTCCTCTTATTTACACCAATTCTGGACTGTACGTCCAAGTGCCTTGGAACAATCCCAAACTGGCCTTTCACAGGAATCCGCTGACTGCGCGACATTTCTTTCCAAATTCGGGCGTGGCACCGACATGTGACATTGAGCCTTCCGCACCCATGACATTTGATTGCGCCGCTGTTACCATGGGACGTAACATCTATCTGATTGGCGGAATGTCCATGCAGGAGGTTGCAGAGGTGAAGCGAACAGTTCAGCGGTACGATGTCGAAAGGCAGACGTGGGCATCGGTGGCGGACATGTGCGAACCAAGATATGAGCTCACAGCGGTGAACTACAAAGATAAATACCTTTTCGTGTTTGGTGGTATCGATGGTTCGGCCGACAGGCAGTGCTTGACGACTGTGGAAAGATATGATCCCATGGAAGACCGCTGGTCTTACGTGAAGCCCATGCACCAGCCTCGATCTAGTGCGTTCGCCTTCGTCCACGATGAAAAGATTTTTGTAATTGGAGGAGAACGAGGTGAAGACGTCACGCCGAATGACTGCGAGGTGTATGATCCCGTGACAGACGATTGGCAGATGATTGACATCCAAGTTAACAAGTTGTTCACTTTCAAAGGACGCGCTGACAAAGGATCCTTTCTGCATCTTGATGGGAGCAGGGAAAACGGAAGGCGAGGCACTGAGACATTAGATCCTGCCATGTATAAAGAAGTGAAAATCACTCGACCGTACGTGACATGTATCAATGGAGCTATCACCATCCTTGACTTCAGCACATGCGCAGATGGACAGCGCAAAGCAGAATTCTACTTTGTTGACCCCGTGTCTGGTGATTTTAAAATGCTACACTCTCTCTTCGCATGGCCGACGGACATCTCGTACGGCGCCATCATGCCTCTGAGCCGGAGAGATGTGGTCAAGGCTCTTAAGGATTATTCTGCTCAGGACTCTTCTAAAAGTCATTATTGAACGATCGTCGATGAATGAAATTAGAAACTTCACTACACCGGAAGGGATTGACACACCGGAAGTGATTGGGTATAGCTCTTACGGCGGCTCTCTTTCATTTTTTCTCTAATTTAACATAAGTTTTTTTTCACTCTCGGATACATGATTGTGTAAGTAGGATAGGATAGAAAACTTCTTCCATTCTTAGATGAACAGTATATGCGCAAATTGGACTACAATCCACGGGCAATAAATTCAAAATTAGATGAAATTGTGGCGTTAAATTTTGACCTGATTGGTGTTTTATTCTTAAAAATAATTATCTATTTCCACGCCATGAATTGTAAAACTGGTACGTTTCAACTCCACTCCAGCCTTCTTAGTAGAATGCAGGAATACAAACAGAGTAGAGATCTTTATAAAGCCAATGCTGTGTTCTAAGAAAAATCGAACGGAGCCCAGTGCTCAGAAACTGTGAAATCCAGGGTGCCCAGCATATGCTTTTTATGAAAAAAGCTAAGATTCCTGAGTCGCCCAAGAACAAAAGTAAGGCGCTGGGGGGCCACCGGGCACTGCTAGACCACAGCCCTGAAAGCCCTCTCATCTTAACACTCGCTTCCTTAAAATTGTAAGAATGCCCGTAACGTTTTGTGAATAATTTTTTGTTCTTTATAATATAGATGTTTAACTCTGGTTGATGCAGTTTCCCAGAAGAATGGAATGCAAAATTAAATGTTAGATTTATTTTAACTGTGTATTCTGTGGAATTATCGCTAACAAAAATTCATGCGCATTTGAATTCCGCTCAATATTTAAAAAGATTATTGTTGGCAATATGCGGTTCGTTATTTGAGGATAGTTAATTTTGTCATGTTTGATTTCCAGAAGTTTCGACATATTTGCTTTCAGCGAGTTCAAGCAGTTTGCAAGATTTCATGTTAACATGCAATTCAGTAGTTCCCCAAGCTGAACGGTAGGGCGTGCTTCCAGTATTCAGGGTGCCCTAGCTTGTTAATTTCGGTGACTCGGCTTTTTCTCTGTCCCACCCGCGTGACAAATGGATTAAAAGTATTTTAAAAATATTTTGCTGCATGAACTGGACTAAGAAGTAGTCTCGGACGTTTTTCTTTTCATCGTGAGAGGGAGGTGTGGGTATGGGTTGGGGAAAGGTGTTCAGTGTAGCAAAGAAGATTTCTTAAGGCTGGTTTTTTACTTGCGACGGAGTCGTAGTCGGAGTCGTAATAAGAAACGGAGCGATACGATCTAGTTAAACTCAAACCGACGGAGTTAGAAGCAGAACACCGATTCTGCCTATGACTCCGTCTCTTACGATCTTGTGAAAACTGCATGGTCGGAAGCGGAAGCAGAAGAATAAACCAATCATAATGCTCGATTCCATCTTTCCAAAATGCACAAATAGCCGCAACAAATTTAAACGTGTGAGCTTGACTATAAAATGACGAAATTAGAAGTTAAAATACTCGAAACCTACCGAAAGTACAATTCATGATCATCAAGTCGTAGTTCGCTTTATATCCACTTTGCAATACTGAGTGTTTTAAAAATTCTTTTATTAATAGACTTAGTTTTAAGCATAACTTAGCTGTAAGTAATTAATACATATTTTAGCCCGTTACACTTTATGTGTAACGGGTGATGCTATATCGAAGGCGCTCGTCGAGGGTAAGAGTAAACGGTAAGTTTGGTCAGCGAGGAAATTATGAAACCCACGAATATTTGCGAAAGCCCGCGAAAGGATGACATTTAAAACTGAAAACAGTTTTTCAGTGAGACACTAAAATGCGTAATCATGGCGGCGACTATTCAATCGTCTCTAAACAAATCGGAGATTGAGTTCCTTGAGGAAAACCTTGAAAATTATTCTGTTAAAAACCAGTACTTTTTGGGTTATTTCGATGGGAAAAGAGACGAGTTCGAGGATATCATCGTTGCAGATTAGTGACGTAAATTGATATTGGAGAAGATTCTTTCTGGTGTGGGACTGACTTAAGACTAGGCTAGGCTGTGTACAATTCCTGAAAATCTTGTTCGTTATTTTACGAATCATTTGATGTTTCAGTGTTGACAAGTTTTTCGTATTACATTACTAAAAAAATTAACTTAACGCTCCAAGGAGAATCTCTCTCAAACTTTACTTTTAAGAGATGAAGCTACCGTCTAAAATTCAAACGTTACTGTTAGGTTTATTAGCGCATTGACAACCTTGTAAATTAGCTCAAACACAATGAAAACATTTGTATTAGTTTTTGTATATCTTTATACTTTGTTCAGTGCGATCTTACACATTTCGGGTTTGAACTTTTCGTTGGGAATAAGTGGTACAGCTTACATGACATATTTTATATTTAACCGCTGTACTATAAATTTGTGTGTTCGACCCTCGACGAGCGCCTTCGATATAGCATCACCCATATGTAACGCTTGATATGTATTTTATCAGTGAAGTAAAGACTAATTATTTAGTTCGCTGATGAGGTTAGCATACTCTCCCAAAGCTGCTCGACGTCGATAGATATCACGAACCCAAAATCGCTTTCTTTTTCGAACGATATCATTCCTGTATTGTCTCTGCCTGCGCAAAATAATGATTAATAAGAGCCAAAGCACAAGTCGCTCTTCATCCGCCATGTTGTCTTTGGCGCCAAAATTTGTACTTTCGCGGGCCTGGAATCGAGCATTGTGATTGGTTTATTCCTCCGCTTCCGCTTCCTACTCCGACAATGCAGTTTTCACTAGATCGTAAGCGATGGAGTCTAAGCGGAATCGGAAGAAAATGGAAACGTTCTGATTCTTCCGACTCCGATTCCGTCCAGCTTATGACTCCAATTACTACCCCGTTCTTCGATTTTCACTAGCTCATAAGCGCTCTTACGAGTCCGACTACGACTCAGACTCAGACTCCGACTCCGTCGCTAATGAAAACCAGCCTTTATTAGTTACCTCTTCTGATCTCGAGTAAAAGAGATGATTTTTTACAAAATAGGCGAATCTTTGTTTATATCTTGAGGCGCATGCACTGTTTGGTGAGTAGCAAAAAGATCAAACAATATGGCGGACGTGGTGGAGATTTCTTGTGCGTGTAAGAAAGTAAGTGGTAAAAAGAGGGAGTATTTACAGATTCTTGCACCCGAGGACTGAAAAAGGTTGAAAGAGAAGCAAAAAGTTTCCGTTGGACGAGGTTTCGAGGAGATCCGAAACCCTTACAAGATTTGGGACGATGAGAACTTCTGGTAGGATTCGCCTTTGTCGTGGCCGCAAATGGGTTACGGCGATGTTTTTTATCATCTCATAGGTAGCTTTGGTGATTTCACAAAAAAAAAAAAAAGCTGAAAGATTATGAGAGCCTTTAAGCTTACAATTACTTTGTCTCAAGAAAAGTTGGGCCAATTTACAGCTTCACAGCAAACTTCAACCCTACCAAATATGTAGTGCTAAAAGCCGAAGTAAGACCCAGTTAGGCTGAATCCTGCAAAGAATCGTATCTTCCCTGGGTAAGTGCAAAGCAAAAGGGAGAAATTGTAACTGGACGCTGCGACTATACGCTTCTTATATGTTTCCTTTAATGTCCTTTTGTGGTATTTACAAGGTGTATATGCAATCTAAAGTTGTATCATTTACATTTTTTCAGTCTTGAGGAATCATGCAGCCATGTTGTTGCTTTGATGTTCAAAGTTGAGACGGGAGTAAGAATTGGAATAAAAACTTCAGCTTGTACAAGTGAGGCTTGCAGGTAATATTTATTCAATAATGGAAAGAAACAAATTGTGTAGGGCCTCTATCACATGCGCTATTGGCAAGCCAAAGACCAGCACATAGTAAAGATGAGAGAAACCAGACCCGAGGTAGATCTTGGGACTACTTACATCAGGGTGTTGGTGTGTTGATAATAAATACCTTGCAGTAAAGTAGTTGGTGTGTTGATAATAAATTCCTTGCGGTGATGCAGTGTTTGTTCTATTTTGTTTGCAATATTGGGGTATTCAGAACCCCCCATATCCCCCTCTCTATAGAGTACAACTTTTTGAGCCGTTTTGGTCGCAACCTAGGTGAAGATGTTAATTATTTTGATGTGACAATTATGGTGGACCAATCATAATTATTAGTGCAATAGTACAAGTGCTACTCCCCCTCTCCAATTGTACCTACATGGCCACCTCCATTTCAACTAAAAGGAGAGAAATTACAAGAATGGGTAGGAAAAATAGTTAGAAATTCCATCAGACACAACAGCCAAACTACTAGATAATGCTGAAATATTTCATGTGACCTATGATCAATCTCACAGACTTCAATGTGAAACATAAAAGCAAGCTGAATGGACACAGTGCTTTGAAGTAATATGTTTTTGAAAAGCTGTCTCTAACTTTGGGAAAATTTGTTGAAAAGTGCAAAACAAAAGAGCTAAGCATGAATTGGTTGTAAAAGATCTCCTGCAGCCAAAGCCCCCCATTGCCTTTGTAGATCATATATTAAAATGGGAAGGGAAAATGAGAGTACTGTCATGCAAGTGTATAGAGGGCTACCTCAGCTCATAAAAAGCATATTATAACATGTGGACTTTTTATAAGTCCAGAAGATTCTTTTTTTAGCTGCAACATCGAACAGTATATGTTATGACAGCAAAGAAATAGACCCATGAGGTATTGTGGAAGTAGAAAGTCCATACACAGCTGGGAACAATAAACCCTGAGAAGGAGTAGCATTAGTGAAGAATTACATGAGTGAAGTAGATGAGAATGGGACTTTGACACTCAAACAGACACATAGAAACACTATTTTCTAGTCCAGGGTCAGATGGCAATAAGTGGAGCCAAATGGTGTGACTTTGTGGTGTACACAAACTGAGCTGGTGTGGTTTACGCCCTAACAAAGTTTGTTAGGGCGCAAATGTAATGGAAACATGTGACTTGTGACGTGGCGACATCCGGGACAGTTACAAAACAAAGCTGTTGTT